ATTTATATTTTACAAAATAAATAAATTTATAAAACTTATCAATTAATATATAATTATAATTTGATTTATATATAATTATATTCATACAAATAATTTTTAATTTTTTTTTTAATAAAAGACAAATTTATATATTTTATTAAAAAAAATAAATTAATTAAGATATTAACTTATATAAGATAAATAAACATATTTTAATTTAAGATTTAATTCTTACCTTTGATATTGAAAATAAAATATTAATTATCCATTTGCCACTATAGAGAGTATTTCCTATAATATCTCCTTTTAATTTTTCAATTTCATTCTTTTCAATATCTTGACTTTCTAATATAATACTTGGTTTAACTTCGTCATTTTCAGATTTCAAAACATTATTCATTTTTTTTGTATTCATAAAATCACTATTTTATTTATAGTTTTTTAAATAAAATTTTGTTTAGCATTTGATTCTCTAGATTATTATTTTATATTAATAATAATTTAATAAACTTATTACAAATTATTTATAAATTTCTGATTCAAACTTATCCCAGCTGATTGATATAAAGAAAGATAACCTAACTTTCTTGATATTTATTGTTTTAATCATATATTTTTTATTTTATTATTTTTATAATATTAATTTTTAAGTAAATTTTAATATTATTTATTTATATAATATTTCATTGTATCATATTATATAATACTGATTTTAAACTACAACTTCAAATTTATATTTTACCTACTATTCATTATATCGATAATTAATTATAATTCAAGATCTCGATATAAAGTATGCACACAAAAATATTTGTAAACTAACATATGCTTAACTTCAACTTTTTTTTAATATTATATTATAGTTATAATTAATAGTTATAATTATAGACGAAATAAAAAAATATGTTTTGATAGAATATTTATTGTATTTTATAAATATGAGAAAATTTATTAATTAATTTGATATAATAAAATAATATTAAAAATTATAGTAATATAAAAAATAACAATTTTTATTTTTCGCATCATAAAAATATTCTGATGCTTTTAAAATAAATTTATAGTAAAATAATTAAAATAATAATTTTTTATGAAAATTAAATATTAATTTTAATATTTTTTAATTGCGTGCTTTAAAAATTTAGAATAAAATGATTAAAATAATAATAAAATGAAAATATTGTTCTTTATAAAAATTATAAAAAAATTAACTATTTTTTTTTTTTTTGAATCATCTTTTAAATAATTTAAGGTATTAAAAATTATTTTTCGTTAAAAATATTTTCTATATATTATTATAATTCGCAATGAGAAATATTTTCATGAACATTAAATGATCAAGTGATAAATATACTTATTAATTTTTTTGTAGATAGATAAAAATAAGACCAACTTTTATTTTTTAAATAGAACTATGTATTTTTTTATGCATCAATTGATACAGTTTTTAATTCTCTAAATTATATGCCAAAAATGATTATATGCCAAAAGAAATATTTTGATGCAAATATTGTTAAGAAAACTTCCCTGCTATTAATAATAATTGTAATTTATTAATTTTTTATAAAATATATTCAATGTAACGTCCATTTACATCTCGAATTAATAGAATAGTGATCATCTTAAATATACATATCGGATATTTTACATTTCTTTATGTTTTTTCATATTGAGTAATGTAATCGGATTTTCTGTATAAATTTTATTTTTCAAATAATCCCATAAAAAAAAGTCGAGGAGTTAAATCATATAATCGTGCCTGAAAATTAAAAAGTCGGCCACACTCTCTCTAATAATATGAACAAAGTTGATTTAAAATATTTTTTACTGGATATTTTTTATTTTTTTTATTTTTTACTATTTAACGCATAATGTGCTGAGCATCCATCTTGTTGAATATTAATCAATGAATATATCTATATATATTTTCCAATAATGCTGATAAAATTTGTGATGAAAATTAACATATTTTGATCCACAATGCACCATAACCGATAAAGTAAACCCAATAATATAATTAATAGTGTACCACATATTGATACTCTATTGATATTGATAATTCGTCTAAACCAATGTGGATTTTGTGGCAACTAATAATGAATTTTGTAAATTTATATAATTGTAATTATCCTTCATAAATAAAGTCTCATGATTTTTAAAAAAAAAATATCTTCATTCTCCACATATAATCGTTTCGCATGTGACGTACTTTATTAAGTTTTAAAATAAATTGATAACATATCTAATTTCTTTTCTTCTGTATATTTTATTTTCACAATTATACAATCAAATATAGTTGACATAGTTAAATGTCTAATATAAACTAAATATCTATGTCAGAATAGTAATAATGAATGTTTATATTTCACAATGTTATAGAACAACATTTTTGTTATGATAATATTAATATAAAAAATTATTGATATAAAGTTAGCAAAGAAAGAAGTTAGAAGAAAAAGAAGTTTTCTAAATAATATTTACATTAAAATATTTTCTAAACTAATTATTTTTCATGAATACTTTTATTATAAAATTAAAAACTACATCAATTGGTGCATAAAAAATATATGATTCTATTTAATAAATGACCTTTATATGTTTTTAACGCATTCACCTACAAAAAACTAATAATTAATATGTGCACTTCTTGAAATCATTTAATGTCAATCAAAATATTTTTCGCTGCGAATAATAATAAGTAATTTAAAATGGTAATATTTAATGAAACATCCTATATAAGTATACAAAAAATAAAAAACTTTTGATTTATTTTATTTGAACATTATAAAATAAAAGACATTTTTAATTTATAAATATTAAACAAATTTAAATTATCAAATTAAATTAATGAATCTTTTACAACTGCATGAATATTCTAGTAAACAATTGGATCATTAAATAAATAAAAAACAATACACTATAGAATGAATAAAATACAATACACTAAAGAATATATAAATTCGTCTGAAATAGAAATGAAATATAGAATATATTATTAACAAAAAATAATTTTTAATTTTTTAGACTATTTAAAACATATTTTAGAATTTGCTATTTTATTAAAAACTTTTAAAGTGAATATTTTTGTGAAATGAATGAAAAATAATTGTAATGTTATTTAATTTTTAATATTATTTTATTATATCAAGTTAGTAAAATAAATAAATTAGTTAAATAAATTGTTATATATAGAGTAATTTATAGTAAATTTATTTTTTTTTTACAATTAATAAAGATATAAATCGTTAAAGTAATCGTATCTGAATATTAATATGTGAATATTGTGTATATTTTCATTATCAAAAAAGAAAAAAAATTGTCATCATGGAAAGAATCAAATTATATTCATTTATATTTTTGTATAAAATATTATATTATATTATATATTTTATATATTTTATATAAAAAATGTTAAAAATATTAAAAATTTTGAAATATAATATTTATATAATAATATAATATTTATTTTTATAATTTTTAATTTTATAAATATAAAAATAGATAATTAAAGCAACAGAAATATAACATATATTTATATAACTCTATTTTTATTTTCTTCTATTTTTTTTATTTCTTTATGTATCAAAATAGCTAATGTTGAAAGTGCCTGAAAATAATAAGACTGCAATTTATTATTAAAATTATTATTAAAATTTATTAAAATAATAGAAAAAAGAAATTTACAAACGATTTAAATTATAAAAATTATAAAGAGACAATCATAATAAAATAATAAAATTAAATTTAAAATTAAAATAATAGTTAATAGAAAATTAATATAAATCAAAAAATTGAAATTAAATAAAATAAGAACCTTATCAATTTCTTCTGGCGTCGCATAACTATAGCAAATTCTGAGATGTTGTTCAAGTTTCGAATAATCATAATTAAATGCATGACCGGGAATAAGAAAAACTCCTTGAGAAATACATTTGTTTGTTAATTCCATTACATCTTTTATTTTATTTACTTTTATCCAGACAAACATCCCACCTTTTGGAACATTCCATTCTACTAATCCTACAAAATTAAGTATATATTTTGATTTAAAAAAAATTTTTTTTTAAATTTTTATCAACAAAAAATACCTGTAAGATGTTTCTCAATCAAAGATAATGTAATATCTCGTCTTTCACGATAAAAATTCTGTATTTCATTAAAATGTTGTTGCAGTTTCTGCAAATTCCATGAATTCAATAATTTCAACAATAAAATCTATAAAAAATAATAATTCATGAGCAATAAAATGTGATATATTTGTTTACTAAAGTTATTTTCATCTTTTAAATATTTTAAATTTACGTGAAATTATTAAATTACTTGCGATAAGGAAGAAGCATGAATACTTGTTGTTTCCATATGTATAATTAATTTTTTAATAAATTTTTTATGTGCTGTAACAACACCTAATCGAAGTCCAGCACTAAGAATTTTACTAAAAGAATCCAAACGTATTACTCGTCCTTTGGTATCTAATTCTAAAAATGTTATAGGTTTTTTATCGACAAAATGAAGAAAACAATAAGGATCATCTTCTAAGATTAAAAAGTTGTATGTTTCAGCTAATTTATAAATTTTCCTTTTCCTGTATTCTGTTAAAATTGTTCCTGTTGGATTGGCTCCTGTTGGATTTAGATAAAGAATCTATGAAAAAAAAAAATAAATAAATAAATAAAAAGATTTCTTTCCATTAAGATAATACAAAATTTAATTATAAAATGAATAAATAATTATAAAATGAATGTAGAAATAATTTTTTTTATTTTTTAAGAACTTACTTTTGGTAATGGTTTATTATTATGTTGTTTATTTTTACAAATTTTTATTATGTTTTCTGGAATTACACCATCTTCATCTTGTGGAATTTCAATTAATTCTGGCATTAATGGTCTAAGCTAAAAATATTAAATAATATTATAGAATTAAATTAAATAACATTAAAAATAATAAAAAAAGAAATTAAATTTATAATGTAATGTTAAAAAATAAGTTAATAAACAAATTAAAAATTTTACTGCATTCAAAATTCCATCGTAAGTTGGTGTTTGTATCATTATAGAATCGCCTATTTCTAAAATCATTTCGAAAACTTTGCTACATCCTTCCATTGATCCAGATGTGAAAAGTACATCCCAATCATTATACATTGGTTTATGCCAATGTTTTTGAAATTCTCTCATTTTTTTCAATAATGGTAAGTATCTTAAATCATAAAAGAAGTTAATAATTATCAAAAAAAAAAAAAAAAAAGAAAAATGAAAAAATAAAAATGCAGTAAATTTGTAGTAAATTATTTTTATTTTTTATTTAAAAAATTACCCTTGAGAAGGACCATATTGAAGTGACCAAGATAATTCTTCTCCAACTAATTTTATTTTTGTTCCATCTTTATATGTTACAGAGATCTCTTCAAAAGGAAACATCTTTGCATTTGGCATTCCATTAGCTAGACTTATTGCATTCTTACTCTCCAAAAATTTTATTGCTATTATACATAAAAATTATGATTAATAAATATAAATGTATATAATATATATAAACTTCTGAATATATGTATGTGTATATATATATATATATATATATATATATATAGTATATTCATAAGCCATATTGAATATTATAACTTTATTTTATAAATTTATATTTTTCGATTTTAGAGATTAAAACAAATACAATATAATTACTATACAAAAATATTAGGTTTATTTATTGAATTATAAACAATTTTGATAATTATTATTGAATTATAAACAATATTTAAGTTTACATTAAATGAAGCGAAACAAGATAGTAATGAACAAAAATGGAGTTGTCTCATTTTATTTATGTCTTGTTTCATTTAACAATTTTAATTACTTATAATTTAATAATTAATTAGATCCTAACTGATATTTTTGTATATATTAAATTTTATGTATTTTTTCTAATAATCTCTATAATTGATCCATCAAAAATATCTCATAAATATATTAATATTTTATATATATTTTTTACATATATTTATATATAAATATATAATTATTTTATTATATATAATTATTTTTAAAAAATTAAAAATAAATATAATATTATGAATTATAAAAAAATGAATATTTTAATTGATATAACTACGATAATATAAAAACTTTTTTAAGAAATTTAAAATATGAAAAATATTCTTCTTACCCCATTCACGAAGAATACTTGATTTTCGCCTATTTGTAATATTCGTAAAAAATCTTTCAAAATTCATTTTTTGTTTTATTTTTTTATTTATTTATTTAAAAAATTTATTTAAAAATGAATATTTAATTAATTAAATTAGCTTTTAATTTTTGTTAAATAATAATTAATCTTTCAATTTAGATTTTATTAATTTGAAAAAGTTAAATAGAATTGATAAGTTAATAGCTTATAACTTTTTAATTCACATTCTAATTGAAACTTCACAAATCTATATTATATTATTGATATTAAATAAGTGTCTCGAAAACAATTACAAGATTAATTTTGCTCAACTACGATGTAAATAAAAATTGTCGTTATCAATATTAATACTGTAGGTTATCATTTTACATTGATAATATACACACGTTATAATTTTGAATATTATAAAATAAATGTAATAAATATGTATTGAATTTCTAATAGATATAAATACATATTATTTATGAATCGAAAAAAATTTTTAAAAATAGTTTTAAAATATAAATTAATTGATTAAATACATATATATAATTAAAAAAATTATAAGATAATTAAATTAATATTTAAAAATTATATAGAATATTATAAATTATATAAACATATAAATTATATAGAATT